CATAGTCAGAGTCCACGGACAGTGGTGGGGTAGTGGTGGCGGCAGCACCTAGAATGGAATGCAGTGCCTCGTAGAAACGACATGTCTGGGGCTGGGATCCGGAGCATCCATTTGACTCTTTGGTCTTCTGGTACCCTTGTCCCAGCTCCTTGATTTTCACGCGGCACTGCGTTGCATCCCGGCTGTATCCTCTCTCCATCATGGCTTTGAGATCTTCTCGTAGATCTTTGCATTCCGTTTTTTCAATCGCAGCTCCGAAAGCACGGACTCATCGCCCCACACAGTGATCAGATCCAAGACTTCCCGATCAGTCCATGCTGGGGCCCTCTTTCTATTCTGCGATTGCATGGTCACCTTTGCTGGGGAGCTCTGCATCGTTGCTAGTGCTGCTGAGCTCGCCACGATGTCCAAACAGGAAATGAGTATCAAACTGGCAGACAAGAAAAGGAATTCAAATTTTCCTGGGGCTTTTCCTGTGTGGCTGGTGGCTGGTCAGAGCATCCGAGCTCAGACTGCTGTCCAGAGCGTCAACAGAGTGGGGCACTGTGGGATAGCTCCTGGAGCTATTAGCATCGAATACCATCCACACCTACCCTAATTCTACATGGCCATGTCGAATTTAGCGCTACTCCCCTCGTGAGGGAGGAGTACAGAAATCGATTTAAAGAGACTTCTATGTCAAAATAAATAGCTTCGTTGTGTGGACGGGTGCAGGGTTAATTTGAGTTAACGCTGCTAAATTTGACATAACCTTCTAGTGTAGACCAGGCCTAAGTGATATCTGTCTGGCTTCAACTTGTGCAGCTAAATGTATGCCTCCCCCAAATTCAGATTTGTGCATGCAAATGGCACTTGATGTGTCCAAATTGGGTAGACCAGCAATTTCCCTCATTGTCCACAGAGCATTACCTGGAGGTCTGCAGAGAGGTGGCTGATCAAATGATGTTGACTGCTCCCTGTTTCCTGTTAAACTACATTCAAAGACAGCTGCAATTATAATAAATACTTTCCTAATCATCTTTCCATGTAAGCAATTGCTGTAGTTGCCAATGGGAGAGAGAGGTAGTTCCCAATAAAATATTTCTGTATAAGGAAGTCCACATGATGAAAGCTGGGAAACCCTTCAGGTATTATCTACCTGATTTGGGCATGTAAATGCTGTCTGCATAGCAAAATCCAGTTTGGGGGCATGTGAAAACTTGGATGTTAACACTTCAGAAATTACCTCTTAAAAAGGAATCACATTTTGTTTTGGGAATCATTGTAGACTACTGCAGTTTCCAAAACACTGCTGGAAAAGGCTAGTTTAGACGCTATTGATTAGAGCCAAGGCTAAAGACCTACTCTCACAAGGAAGGGTCTGCAGTGAAGATGGTATCCTCTACTCTTCAATTCTGATATTACTCACCTGAAAAGCATCTTTCTGTTAAACTCAGAGCTTTCCATAAATCAGATTTTTGTGCAAGCCTTTAGGAAGCTCTCTGTACTGCAGCTTAGTTTCATAAGGTGCCTCCTCTCTTATGGCAAAAAGCTAGTCTTAAAATTATATTATGCAAGAAGATTTTATGTGTATGTCATGAGTGGCAGGGTTGCTACATAACCTTCCTGCCACCACATAAAACATGCAAGTGCTTGTTCCTACTGGATGCTGGTACTGTTACATCAGAGGGGAGAATCCATCCTGACTTGTCTTCAGCATGAGAGTGCTGAGATTCTTTAAGGTGAAGCTGTTTTGCCTAGGAAATGGTCAACTTTAGGTACAGCTGAGCTGGTGGTGTGCATTTAAAACTATTCTGTTTAGGTGGTGGCTAAGGACATGTCTGGATAGGAAAATTATACTTTTTTTTTTTATTGAGGTGTGCACACAGGGAGTTGTACTGGTATAAAACTGTTTTAACTGGTAAAACTTTCCCATGTAGATGAGACCTAAACCTGAGCTAAGGTCTTACCTTTCATCCACAGTAAGGCTGTAGCTGTCAACCTAATCCCTGGTATAGATGTAGCTAGGTTGACAGAAGAATGCTTCCATTGAAGTAGCTACTGCCGCTTGGGTAGGTCGTGTTCAACAGCAATGCTAAAAACCCCTCTCTTGCTGTAAGAAGTATCTACGCTACTGGTGCTACAGTGGCAGACCTACGGCATGGTAGCAGTGCCACTGTAATGCCTGTAGTATAGATACAGCCTGAGAAAGAGCTGGCTTAGTTAGCTAAGGTCAACCTAAACGCTCTACTACTTTTCCTAGTTAAGACCTGGGCTGTGTCTTCACTGCAAAAAAGTGAGATAGCTATCTCATTTTAAAATCCTAGTGGAGACAAAAGCATAGGTAGTTTTACCTTGACTAGCTATGGCAACGTAAAAACTATCTGTACTTTGTCCCCAATAGGATTAGGAATAGAGCTCTTAATGTAAAAAAGCACACCTTTTTTGTTTAAAAAAAATAATAATAATAAAAATTAGTTGTTTTGGTTCCTCCCTGAACTGAACTAGAAAATCTATCTTGCTATATGCTATTTTCTGTCAAACTTTAAAGGGGACAGGAGGAGATGACAGTGTTCTATTTGTATGCAGATTCTACAAGGGTGAACGGAATCCTATAGCATAAATAATCTTACATTACTCCCTTTCTGTGCATTTAAGATAGTTTTACAGGTCAGAATAGCAAAAGATTTCACACATTCTTGTAGCTCTTGACCATTCTGGCTAAAGGGATAATGTTAATTAAGGTAGTGCCAGAAAGCTATTCAGTTGTTAATAGTTTATTGGAGAAACCCCTTCACTCCATGAGACAATGGATGATTTATACTGATCAGGTTACAATGGTGTGAACATATATGTGCCCTGGAATTTCATACATATTATCTGCTACTTTAGTGCATAAAGAATACTGTAGGACTTGCCAAATCAGAATCTGTCTAATGAAATATCCTGTGTCATTAATGATTTATGCTAAATGCTGCAGAGGAAAGCATAAATCCACATGATTCTGAAATGTTTTGGTGGAGGGAAGGCAGGATTTCCTCTTTACTTCCAGATAATAGCTTAACTAGGAGTCATGGTTTTAAACTTCTTTTTAAATAACATTATTCCACCCAAGGTATATAATACTCCTTGAAAGTAACACCCATTTATTGGTAGATCTGATAATAGTAGTAATACTACTACTACTTATGTAGTATGTGATCTTAAACTGAAATATTGACCCTCTTTATATAGTTCTTGTACTGGATTACTAGAACAAAATCATTCAGATACCTTCTCAGCTGAACTGTTCAGTCAATAACTCTCACTGGACATCAAAAACGGGCTACATCTGAAGGTAGAAGACACACAAATGCGGTGCTAAAGAGCTACCAGCTTTCCAGACATGAAGCTGTGATATAAATAGTTTTTGCAAAAAGCACATTTATCCCTTGGTCATGAGATTAACCTACTTCAGGGGTTGGCAACCTTTCAAAAGTGGTGTGCCGAGTCTTCATTTATTCACTCTAATTTAAGGTTTCGCGTGCCAGTCATACATTTTAACGTTTTTAGAAGGTCTCTTTCTATAAGTCTATAATATAGAACTAAACTATTGTTGTATGTAAAGTAAATTAGGCTTTTAAAAGGTTTAAGAAGCTTCATTTAAAATTAAATTAAAATGCAGAGCCCCCCGGACCGGTGGCCAGGACCCGGGCAATGTGAGTGTCACTGAAAATCCGCTCACGTGCCACCTTCGGCACATGTGCCATAGGTTGCCTACCCCAACCTACTTCTTATTACTATTCATCTTCCAGTCCCCATATCTGTTTGATACTCTGAGTTTAATTTCTAATCTAGTGGTGGATTGCGTGGTGGAACCTCTGAAAATTCCTCTCCAATAGTATGACCCTGTACATACATTCCATATCACTTATCTGCTGTTTTAATAATGGTTTAAGTGCCATCCCTGCTGAATAATTCACTTTTAGTGCTACATAGACAAGAGATGATCAGGTGCCCTAAAGTAAGAAAAGATTCAAGCAGGTAAAACACTCTGAAGGAATGGGGGAAGAAGGGTAACAATGAGGGAAGTACATGGCTCCATAGACGAGCTTGTGTGCGAAAGTCATAGGTTTTGAGTCATGATTTTTTTTTTTAAGTATATAAACAAATGATTGATAATCCCTGCTAGCAGCTTCACTGTAGGCATCTTGGTAAAAGTGAATCTTGAGGAGAGATTTTTGATGGCAGTGCTAGTAGGTTTTATTAATTAGTTTGAGGAGGACATCTTTGCAATAGAAGTAGTGGAAGAAAGTGCGAAGGTACTTGTGAACCTGGCAAAGTGGACAAACTGATGTTAAGTGTTACTGGCGGAGCAAATGAGTGGGGTTGATTTGATGAGACACAAGTAGATATGGGAAGACATTATTGTAGGTTTTTTGTCTTTGAATTTAAATATAGTTTTCACTGCAGGAGGGAGGTGCTAGCTTTAGTTTCACTCAATATAAATATTTGTTAATGCATACTACGATAAATTATGGTGGTGAACAGTCTGTAAGGCTCCACCTAGTGGCCAAGTTCTCAACTTTTCCTTTCAGAGACTGTTGCAAACATGTATACCTTGCTGAATCACATATCTGCTAACTTGCTAGTGACTATCACCTTGTTACATTTGTATTGTGTTTTTTATAAGTAAATGGCTTTCTTAGACAGTATGTCTTTATTTTCTGAAGATGTTCTCTTGAGATTGTCCAAGCCTTTTATTTGAGACAGGTCCCAACTGACCAACCTTGTTTGACAACGTTCTGTTTACTAGTCCTTTAGGTTATTAGATGAGGCTGATTCTGCAGCATCACTGCTGTTGCTGAGTTGTTTTTTGCACTGATACCATGGTGACAGGGAGCATTACAAATACTTAGATTTGTAAATCTGTAGTCTGAAGCATGCCCTGAGCTTTAACAAAAATTATGGCTGCCTTTTCCTGTTTCTGTTGAAAATGTTCGCCCTGCTTCTGATCATGTACATCTTAACTTGCATTCTAGCATGCAGCAGAGGATGGACTTGTACACACAAATGGCACGGCAAGGACAATGCCCAAAGAATGGATTTGCATTTAAAGGTCCCAGCAGTTAGACTTTCTTAGAAGAGACGGTAAGGCTAAAGAACACTAGCATATTACTTGGATGTCTGATTACTATTACAGTTAACTGCCTTTAAATCCTCATTTGTATAGGCACCTTGCCAGCTGTCAATACATTCTCCTCCTTGGAAAATTGCACTCTGTTTCTGTAATCTTCACAGAACACGTAATGTCACTTACTGATTTAAAATGGTCTCTTGGTTCCCTGACACTTGCCGATCTAAGACACTTTTACCCACAACTGGCACTTGCTGTGTAGGCACTGTACATCGCAGTTATTCTAAAACCACGGTGCATTGCCAGTGGTGTTGGAGTAGGTAGTTTTCAAAAGAAAGTGAGGGGTGAAGACTTAAGGAAAAAAACCTCTTTAGAGTAAAGAATCTTATTCCCAAAGTTGCATCTTGGCATAAAACATTAATTTGGCAACGCTGGTCTCAGATGCCAGGTGGGGTTTGGTTTTTAAAACTAGATATGTAATCAGGGGAAAAGTGATCATGTTCCATTCCCAACAAATGCAGTTTTTGATCGGCCCTTTCCATTTGCAGAAAGGCGGGCTATCCCATGGGCATAATTAACTTCTACATGTAAATCTTCACTTACTGTAACTTTGCTGCTACAGCATCCGCGTAACTTTTCTCCTTGAATCTAGCTCAGAATCCACCACAGCCATTTTAAACCAGATGAAACATTTCAGCTAGTTAAGGGTTACCCATACAGATTCATTAGCTGGGTTGCTGAAGCCCAATATCATGGTCTGATAACCTAAGGAGTGTACTTTGTTGAATAAACTAGGATTTGTGTGTTAGTGAAATGTGTCCCGCCTTTTCTAGTAAAAAAGCTATAGTGTTTGTATGTAAAGTAGTAAGTTTTGCATGATCTGGAGGCTTCCAAAAATTCAGTTTTCACTGTTCGTTACTATAGTTATTCACTTTATTGTAAGAAATGATAGACTTCATGTTAAGGAAACAATGAATAAGAGCAGAACAAAACCTATGTTCATAAATAACATTCAAATGCATTGTGTATTTCATGCAGATTCCTCCTAGCTTTCTGATGTTTGTGAACAATTACAGCCAGACAATTGGAGATTGTTTGATTACATTCCTAGTTCTTCTTTTGATCAAGCCAGCTGTTCACAAGAAAAATCACCAGAACCTTGGAAATCATCATATTGACCTGTATCTAATTTTTAAAATATGAAATACACAATGTCCCAGAGACTCACATACACAAATTGTCACTGGAACCACTGATCCTTCACTGAGAGCACACGTTCAGAGATCACGAGTCCTGATTTTTTTTTTGTCTATACAGAAAGTATTAAAATGCTTTTCACATGAATAGAATTATAGTTTAGATTAAACTTTCTAGATTCAGGACATTATGTTAATATACAAAGGTATGTTTGAAACATCCAATAAGCCCAAGTTTTTTATCTAATTTGCACACAGTATAACGTTTTTATATATATTAGGACCTTTAATTATGCATTCAACATTTTTATAAAACATTGTTTTCTTGTCTTGTACATATTTGATTGTTCTGTGCAAAAAACCCTCTGTATACTTTGACAGATTCTAGCCAGGATTACTTTACACAGTGCAGAAATGGTTATAAATGTAAAATGATTACCTGAAAATTACTGTAACTTTGTAAAATACATGAAGTGTGAAACGTTAAATGTTTTCTCTCCAACTCTTCTTTCATCTTGTACATTGACTATATGTATAATGTGTATTTAAGTGAATTTTACATAGAGTATAATGGGAAATATTCTCAAATCAGTCTGCAACAGGAATTAAAAGATGGATGCAGTTAGCCTCAACTGACAGAAGGTAACTGCATCAATCCCATTTCTGATGTTCCCATCCTACCACCTACCAGATTCTTTGCATGGCGAGTGTTAAATGGCTTTCTGTCCAAGAGAAGTTCTCATGATCATGATTCATTGCAAGACTCAACTTCAGAGGAGTACTAAAATCAATTTTGAGAGGCCTGGCTGGCTTAAACTGACAATGGAAGATGAAAATTCTCTCCTCTAAGTTACCTGTTCTTATCTAGCTCACACAGGTAGAAACTGAAAGGTGTTATGATCCGATAACTGACAGGTTAATATGTTCATGCTCTCTGAACAAGTGTCCATTGGCCAGAAATCACCAACACAACTGGCAGTCCTTGCAGAGGTCAAGGTTTGAATACATAAACTGATCTATTCTTAATCTCACTTAAATGGTTGATGTCCTTCTGGAACAGACTTGTGATCTATTAGCAAGACTGTATAGCAAGCCTGCACACTCACTCACACACACTCTCTCTCTCTCTCTCTCTCTCTCTCTCTCTCTCTCTCTCTCT